ATTTTAAAGGTGGGCGTAGATATTTTCCAAACCACTAAAGCTAACTTAACCAAATTTGCTGAGAGGAAGTCCTTTTAGCCTTTTTTCATACGCTGAAATTCCTTTAAAACGTGTTGTTTTAGTTTCCTTTTAAACTATTATTTATTTGTTTTTGGCCGTCAGTGCGGGCTAAAGTTGAATAAAATGGGATAATAATAATGTCCGACATTCCTATAATTTTTTCTTTTATTCCCAAATTTGTTATGAGTTTCTAATCGCCAAAAGAACTAGAAAAAAAGTTGACTCCGGTTGCACTGAAGCTGTAATACCCTTCATAAATGCAAAAGATTCTTAACAAGAACTTTGATCGTTCAGTTTGTATGGCAGCTATATGCTATAGTGATCTGTTCGTTTCTTCGGAGATTTCATCATTGGTTTAGGCAATAATCCATGCGAAATTTCTTGAAGATATCTCATAAAATGACAAAGCTCTCCATACAAGCACTATATTCTGATCGTTCAGTTAGTATGGCAGCTATATCTACAGTGGTCCTACATCGGCGATTCCGACAAATGAGGCACACAGGTGAATATGGCTTCATCGACTCGGCTCGTCATGCTGTATATATATATTTTTTTTTTTTATGGAGTCTACGATGTCTCCTGCCTGTGACAAACTCCTTGGTAAACTTAATATATCAGGATATAACAATCCGACAAAAACAAATTTCTGTCCACCCTAGGTTTCGTCCTCTCTTAATTGTGTTTACATTGTCGGCGTTTACATTCGAACGTTAAAGTATGCATTAACTGGCTTAGTGAATATCAGGTATCTTATAAGTGTATCTGTACTTCTGCAGGTTAGTACTTCTGTAAATCTCTAGTTGTAAACATAACTGATGTCAGATATTTTTGATATACGGTTTGATTGATACTCAAAGCGAACGAATTTCGTAGTTGGTAGCATTGTTGCTAAATACACAGGAAAGTAGCTAGTTGTGATTTTTCTGACTACATTACTTGATATCACGTCGCATCCCATCATACTAATTAACGTCATACCAACAAAGAGGGCGCACAAAAAAAAAATTAAATTTGTTCCATCTGTTCTTAGGAACACAGTCGAAAATCGAGTGCAACTCATAATAATATGTATATATATAATAAAATGTTGCTATGTGGAATAAATATCATTTTATATATCACTTCTTATTATATCAACACGACATTTTATTATATCACATCACATCATGTTAGCAAAACAGTTACAAAATATTTACATTTTCTGGTAATGGGTTAATAAAAATTGGAAATTCTTTATGTACATTTGTATGCATTTTCTCAAGAATAATATAAAATCGTTCTAAAATAAATATTTGCTTAAATTCGTTACACTTTTTAACAACACTGAGTTTTTGAATTCAAACTCTGCACTTAAAAACTATACAAATTTATACTCGCTGATAGAATTATTTTCCTCTTCGAATCGTCCATTTGTTTCACTATCTATGGCAGCTGTGACTAAACGTTGCGGTTGTATATTTGGACCCAGTGCATATGGCGGCTTATCTGCTGTTTTTACGTAAAATGTGCCCCTCTTTGGCGTAGAGGGCTCGCCACCCATACGAAATTCCACACCAGTCTCCGAGAATATCCAAACATCATCCGACTGACGGCGACAGAGTGTGCCCCAAAATCCCAGTTGGCTGGTAATCGATTCGGCAAAGTAGTGGTAAGCACGTCGATGAGAGCAACCATAAAAATAGCACTTCTTCTGGTCACGTCCATAATTGGGATAGAAGGTGGCATGACCGACTGGTTCTTCAAAACCCAAACTGCTGCTAGTCTGTATAGATTCGACATACTCAGCATCGCTGGGATCGACGCGAAATTCATCGCTGACGTCACGAAATTTCGGACCAGCCGGATCGAGCGCATAGATCGTATTAAAGCGGTAGGGATGTGCTTGCTTGCCAGCGCTACCGGCGATTTGTGCGCCCAACGAGTGACCAATCAAATAAACGTCATTATAATTGAGGCCGGTGTGCAGATGCAGAAAACCAACAAAATCGGCAAGCAACCGTCCTAAATCCTCCACCATTTCGACAACACTATAATAATTCACATTCGACGAAATAACACTCCAATCACAAACGATTATATTATAGTCGCTTGGCATCACTGTGCCACTGAGATCACTACGATTACCATTGTCAATTTCGAACACACTGTTGATTGGTGAACTGGTGACGATGCTGGCATCTTCGGTGGAAACGGCTGATTGAGGCACGCGTTTGACTAGGCTAAGATAAGCATTTTTGACGGAGCGATTCAAGGCACCTTTGCTCTGACTCATCCAACCATGTATGATTATTCTGCAAGAAAGAAAGCGAGAAGCGGAAATATTGTATTTGCGCTCTTTAATATGTACCTCTGCATTTTTGTGATTTAAGATGCAAAATTGAAATTTTATATGCCAATTTTGGACATACAAGTATAGTATGCAATCATATTATATAAGTGTGTATGTTTAATCTTGAAATGCATTCAACCAAAACTTTCAACGAAAAATATTCAAAATAAAAAGTGCTAATTTCTCACTGAGTCATAAAAGTTGTTAAAACCGGTGTCTGCAGCTGTGCATACAATTTGTTGTTTGTATCTGCATATATACTTATATATGTTATATATACACATATGCCGACGTATAATCGTTTTTTTTTGTAGCCTGTATGCGAAATTGTCGAGCTCAAAACCAGCAGCGATATTCCAAGAAAGCAATCGCTTATCAAGTTATCTACTTCGAATTTAATTTTCATGAATATAAATCACGTAAAAACTGATTTTAAGCTTACGCAACATAGTGCAGGTATTCTTTCGATAATCTGTCGATCAAGAAAGAACTCCTCACTAGAGCTCTTAAAACTAAAACAAAACTTGCTTTGTTCCTCTCTATAGTAGCTGTAATTCACCACAATACTCATGGACTAGTGCAAAAGCCTTTGAAAATGATAAAAAAGAAAAAAACTCATACTAGGTTGAAACCCATCGGAAACGAAAGATAAAACAAGAAAAAACATTAACTTCGGTTGCACCGAAGCTATAATACCTTTACAAATACAAAGGTTCCTTAATGACAAACACCTGTTCACCCTGAACTAATGACAAACAGTAAAGGAAAAATAATTTACAGGCGATCTGAGGTCGGGGAAAGTATCTATCCCCTTTCTTTAGAATTTTTAGAGATTAAAAATGGTTTACCCCAATTCCCGGTAAAACTACGAGTACTATAGAAAAAAGTTGTAGATAATGAAAAGATCT